CACTCTGGATTGTTTGTTTTTTTTTTAATCAGTGTGAGGTCCTCCTATTTCTCAGTAAGACAAGTGATGTATCACTGGAAGCCTCGATGTTTTTGTATTATGTTAGCAGACTCCGTGTCTTATTTAAACTTCTTTTAACAAACTTCCTCTGCCCTTCTCCCTCTCTGGTGGGAGAAGGGCACCATCTTGTTACTAGTGTAGAGTCCAGATATCTCACTTGGCCTCAGTTCATATAGCTGAGGTTGGAGGTGCTTCTCACTACTTTCTGGCATGGTGAGATTTCCAGCTCCCTACATGGTCTCCAATGACATGGGGATGAATGAGGAGGAGCTTCGTTACCAGCTGGCTGGATAAAAGCCCTTGCTCCTTACTTGCAGTTCTCTGACAACACCCAGTTGGGAGTATGGGATGCCTCATTAGTCTAGACTCCCCACTTGACCCTTGCTTGCATGGGTGGGGAGTTAGGGAGCATGGTTTTTTCTGCAATGTTTAACTGGACTAGTTCTTGTCTAAAAGCTTTCTTCTTCTTCTCCTTCTTCTTCTTCTTCTTCTTCTTCTTCTCCTTCTTCTTCTTCTTCTTTCTGAAAGCTTTGTGTCTTTCTTGGCTACTCCTTGGTCTTTTGGCTAGAGAGATAAAGCTTTTGCTGAGCCTTTTTTTTTTTCCAGGATTGCCAGCTTCTTCTGCAGCTCCAAGTCTGGAATGTATAAGGCAAAAAGAAAACTCAAAGAACTCATCACCATGTTGTTCTTCATTTCCTACAATTCCTGGCTGGTCTGTCTTCTTCTCTCCACCTTTCAGAGTCTTCTAATAGATCTTTAGTCATATAAACAATGAGAAGAATAGACAAAAATATGTCTACTCCATCTTTCTGGAAGCATAAGTCTAACTGGTCCATTTTGGGGTAAGCAATGAATTATCAAGGCAATTAATGGGGTGTTTTCCTTCAATTTCATATCTACATGTTCTAAAATTTCTAAAATAGATACAATTTTGCAATAAGGAAATGTGTTTCATTTTTAAATGATTTAAACTCAAAGCCATGTAGAGTGCATTATACCCTTATTGGCTATCACCAACTATTTTCACAAGGTTAGTGGAATCAGGGAAGGTGATCACAGCACATTACACTAACACAGCATCACAGGTTGTGTTCTCCAAGAAGATTTTGAGATGGCGTTTTGTGAGAAGGATGTTAAGGAGCACCCCTAGGACCAGCACCTGTGTAAGGGAAGGATGCAAGCAGGAGTGCACTCAGGGCAAAGCCAATCTGTGATGCAGGCTCCATGGAGAGCTCTTGAACTAGAACAGCCCCTGAGAGTTGGTCTGTGTTGGAATAAGATGGCCAGATCTTCATACTCCACATCAATCCATTCTTATTGTGTGCTCTGGGAAGTGTTACCTTGGGTGAGGGAGTTCTCTGAAGCCAAGGCAATTTCCAGACTCACTGTCAGCTGAAGGACAGCCTCCTAGCAGCTGCGGCTACAAGTCCTTCATTGAAGGAATGACTACCCCATATGGATATTTCAAATGGAAATGTATCTTTAAAACATCCCCTCCAATCTCTTCATTTTATGGGTCCTGTGGCAAAAGACAGGAAATGACATAAGTTCACATATCAACAACCTCTTCGCCAAATATTTCTTTTCAGAGCAACCACAGCACGCTTTACAAAGTGGAAATTTGATCAAGCCACTCCTTTATTTAAAACATTTCAGACGAGAGCGGGTGTGTTCAGGGTGGGATGGCCATAGACATTTCAGGGGCAGCTAGGTGGCTCAGTCTGTGAAGTGTCTGACTTTTGGTTTTGGCTCAGGTCATGATCTCATGGGTTGTGGGATCCAGCCCTGAATCGAGCTCCATGCTCAGTGCAGAGTCAGCTTGAAGATTCTCTCCCTCTTTCCTTCCCTCCCACTTGCACGAGTGCACCCACGCATGTGCACACAGGTGCACATGCACGCTCTCTCTCAAATAAATAAATAAATAAATAAATCTTCAAAAATAAATAAATGAAACATTTCAGTGGCTTCCCATTACTCTTAAGGTCAGAAGTTAAAATCCTTTAGATGACCTCAAAGCCTTGTGTGGCCTGTCCCTGCTGCATTGTTTCCCATCACTTTCACCCTGTCAGTTTTGACACTGCCTACAATATTTCGAGGCACCTTGCTTCTTCCCACCATAGCACATCTTGTGTCTGGAGGACTCCATTCAATCACAACAACACCATGAATGACCTTATTTTGCTGCTGGCCAAAGATCCCTCTCTCGTCTTTTGTGTGTGTGCCAGACTTTATGTTTGGGACGCTGGTTAGTAATCAACCAACCACGGCTTCATTGCACTTGCAGCAGCAGAATTGCTACCATGGTGATGAATATTGCTGTCAAAAATATTGACTTTATCTGATAGGGTGTATTGACTTGATGCTCCAATTGATATCTTCCAGGAGGAAGAGGTCTGTTGCTTTGAAATACGTAAGTATTTATGTATGAGTCTCTTGATGAGCTGTCAAGGTAGAAAAGGAAATGCAGAGGAAGTGCCTGGCAGAGCACACTGTAGTGTGCAAATCCCCACCTCCATTTTAGTTTGGTGGCGTTTGTGTAAATCATAGGTCTGCTCAGCTAACACCCTGCATGGTGGACAAACAAACTTTGTAGTAAAGAAGCCCTTTGGGGTGTAGAAGTAGAACAAGACTAAAAGAAGGACAAAAGACAAAGCCATGGTCTACAGAATCATGTGATTAAGGCATCTGTATCTTCACTATTTCAATCTCTGGCATAGCATAAATTTGGGACTGAGTCAAAGACTTTGGAACGAGTCCCCGTTTATCTCTCTGCCATAACCCATAATCTCTCACATTCCCAGGAGCCTTCCCCAAAGCCACTGTCAGGTCTTTGATGACATGCTTCTTTTTCTCCTTTTACTTGTACCCACTGCTTCAAGAGTCAACCCCCAGGACACCTTAATCCCCAGCATCTACTGGTCTTTGTATATCAGAAATCACAAGGTGGGATTTTCCAGCCACCTACCAGAGCAACTTAGAAGGACTTCCCCTGATACTCCCAAGCCATCACTCCTTCCAGAGAGTACCTCATTTCTCACCTCCCCCACCTCTGCCACACAAATTTGCTCTACAGAGAAAGTCCCCAAGTTTTACTGGAAACCCAACTTCCATCCTAGTAGACACTATTGTCAGAGAGAATGAGCAAAGAATTGCAAGGCTGGGTGGATGACCCCCAGGCTTATACAAACACACCTGGTTCTCAGAATCATTTTTCTCAAAACCAACTTTTATCATCTGTGAACAGTTTAATGATTTTTATAGATCTATGAAACTTATTTACAACATTTTTTAATTGAAAAGACAATGTTATTTCTTTTTTACAATAGGCATTTTTAAAATTTATAATCTCATTCCTAATGTAGTATGACTTTTTATTTTTGGAATTATTTTCCACATGCATACATAATTTACACAGTTCATTTGTACACAGCACTTTCGATAATCTGTTATCTCTTAACAATATATCTGTGCCTTTTCTATGTTCCTGAATTCTGAGGATTTATATTGCTTAGAATTTTTATTTTATACTGATTTGAAGATATCTTTCAGACTTAGATCTTTTATCTACCTCTCTTTGCATATATTAATAGGAAAATGTAAGTGAAATTTGTTAAGGTATTTCTAAGGTGGCAACTGCCACCTGGCTAACAACAATTTAAAAACCATCCTGATTTCATGGATGTTAAAATAAAAAAAAGATTCCATAATAAATTACCATGGACACAGTCCTTTGCTTGATAGAACAATCCCCACTCTGTTGAAGTTCTCTGTTCCTTCCAGATCATCTCTCTCGGCTTTCCACGCTATAGATATCGACTATTTTGAATGTTGTTACCGTTTTCTTGTTTTTCTCTACATTTTTAGTAAATATGTACCCCCAAACATGTTGTTTGATCTTGTTTTTGAATGGTTCTATAGATGGAACTATATCCTATGTATTTTTCAACTGCTTCTATTACTCAATATTATGTGAGATTCATCCATGCTAACATGAATAGCTGCTATTCATTTTCACTGCTATCTAATATGCACTGTGGTCATATACCACAATTTATCGATCCTCCTGATTGATGAACATTTGCGCTGTTTTCAGAGTTTTGCTATTACAAATTGTTTTACTGTAAACATTCTCCTAGCTGTCTCCTGGGGAGCATATGTGAGACTTTCTCCAAAGTATATACGTAGGAGGAAGAGTTGTTAAGATTGGATCTAGAGTAGGCAAATCTTTTCTGTAGTGCCAGATAGTAAATATTTTAGACTTTGCAGGCCATAAGGTCTCTGTTGTAACTATTCAGATCTGCCATTTTAATGAGAGTAGCCATAGACAATATATAGATGAAGGGCTGTGGCTATGTTCCAATAAAACTTTGTTTACAAAACCAGGCAGTTGGCAAGATTTGGCTCTCCGGCAGCCAATTCCTGACCTAGATGATAAACTCCTCATTCTGATCATCTACAAATGCAGCTACACCCCCCTTTACCTCCTGATTATCCCAAGGAGACAGGAGTCCTGTCTTTAGCATATGGACTGGACTGAAAGTCCATGTTCAGGGACCTTTGGGGAAGAGAAAGAAGAGCATGGGGACATGGTATTGGTGGTGCTTTCCAACTTATAGTCTGTGACTTGTAGCCATGGTTTTGGGGAAAACAAAGGCAGAAAGGGTTTGAGGCAAAGCATGGCCCTCATCCTGGCTCGGCTGGTCATGGGTGGGGGGTAAGGTTCTGTTTGACTGGAGGCTGGGGTCTCAGGCTGCAGCATGGGTCACATCACAGGAGCCACTGTGAGGTCACTACCAGGCTAGGGGATATAGACATTCAGACGAGATAGCATTTCTTTTGGAGTTGCATGGTTTCTTTTATTAGAGAAAGCTAGAATTGACTCTCTAGGGATACTTCCCTGAGGCTGGGTCTCCACGGCAGCTCCCTGCCCGGTCTCCTATTTAAACGGATTTACCTTCAATGATTATGGTCTCCATTGTCTCAGATGTCATGGTACCAGAGATCTCCAGATCTTTTCTGCCTGGGGCTTTCTCTACCTTGGCCTCTATGTTGCGCTTCTCTACTGACTTAGCCACGAAGCCTACCCCTCTATCGTGTGATGTGACCACTGTTTTTGAGCCAGAAGTGACTTTCAAGTTCCTGAAGAAAGAGCCAATTTTACTGGATTTCTTACTTACAGGCCCCGAACTGCTCGTAGATTTGATCTTCCCCAACTTGTGAGCTGTCCTTGACTCCTTTGCTGTGGCGCTGTGGCTACCAGTCCTGCGAGAGCTGTGTTCTCTGCTTCTTCCGTGGCTCGGCCCTTTTTCCTTTCTGTCATCTCTTTTGTCATGGCCGGATAAGGACCGGTGGGAGGATGATCTCCGGGTCGACTTGTCCCCTCCTGTCCTGTGGTGACGGGAACTTTTCCTACTCGAAGTTCTGTCCTTCTTTCCTCTTCTTTCTTTTTTTCCCTTCCGGGTTTCGGCACCAGGCTGGGAGACCTTCTGGCTTCCATCCCGCTCGCTCATGTAGCCTTCACTCTGCAAGGTGGAGACAAGGGGTCCTACCCCTGGGCATGCGGCTTTTTCGGCAGCAGGCGTGCCCGTCGTCACTGCGCCTGCAAACACCACGCTCATGCTGCTGCCTGGGGAGACGCTAGCAGCCCCCGTGGTTAGGGTGGAAGCACTGGCCGAGGACACGCTTGCAGCTCCCAACGCCATGTTCATACCCTCTGAGGATATATTGAGAGCACCTGCGATGGCCTTATTGGATCCGCTTTCTCCTGTACATCTGCCGGTGGCTCCAGACAGGGCCGTGCTGACCTGGCTTGTACTCGTAGCCTCGGTTGCTGCCATGCTCAGCGCACCTGATGAAGAGCTTGTTGCCCCCGCCATGGCCAAGCCCGTGGTAGTGCTCGTTGCTGCCCCCGCCATGCCTGCGGCTGCCCTGGTAGCTACTCCTTCAGCCCTCCCGGCAGCCCTGGATTCTGCAGGCGAGCCAGGCATTCTGTGGTGGGCGTGATGGATTCCCTCTCCCCCAGCGTAAGCCGAAGAGGTGGCTCTAGACACCTCACGAGGCTTGTGAAGCCTGAACTCATCCTGATCCCCTTCTCTATGGAGCTCTGCGGTCTGTGCCAAGGGGAGGAGAAACAGGTGAGAGACAGATGATAAAGTGAGACTGAACCGTCTGCTACTTTCTCAACGTGGAGCTGGAGCTGAGCAATTCAAGGGCTTCTAATTGGAAGGACCTTGGAAATGATCAAATCTACGCTCCCACTTGAGGCAAGATCCCATCTATAGCACCCCTATCAAATGGTCACTTGGTTTTTACTTAACAATCCCAGTGCCAGGGAAAGCACTGATACAATTCCCCATCCTCATATACTTTTCTTTTATACACGTGTGTTTAGATTTCTGCAGGACAGATTCCTACAAGTAGGATGGCTGGGCCAGGGGATCCACACATTTTGCATTTTGGTGGCTGCGAAAATCGTGCATGTGCAGACACACATGGGTGGTCCTGATTTTAATCAGCACATGGTAGTCACAGGGATACAGAATGAAGGAAAGACTTCCTAATTGCTACCAATGTTCCACAGCTGCTGAGACTAACTGGGTTGGGGTAAGTGTTCGAGAAGAGACTAGGGCCATCAGGATGCCCAGATGGATGGAAGGAGTTACAACCTTGGGTCTGAGACCAGAACAGTGGATATGTAAGGCCTCTCTGAAATTCAGCCTCGTGGAACAACTGGGAGAAGCACTCAGAACCTCCCCAGGGTGCTGAATCCCCTAGTGGGGGCTCATTTGGCCCTGAGCCTATTCAAGGGAAATGCATTTCCCAGGTGAGCCTCAGAGAGTACCAGAGCTTCTGTAGGACCAGCTTTGAGCGGCTCTCCCAAAGCACCCTGCCCCATTCTCTTGAGACTCTGTTGATGCTTACCACTAGGCCCTTGTCATCCTCTAAGGTGGCTGCGTCCCCAGTTTGCGGGGTCGGGGTACTGCTGCAGCTATCCACTGGTGGTCTCAGGAGATAGACAAGTTTTTCCCAGTAGCAAAAGAGGTCTTCTCGTGCATCTGAAGAGGGACACAGCTGCAGGTAGAAAGTGCGGCCAGTGGCAAGTTTCAGGCGCAGCTGCTGTTTCTCACGATCGTGAATGGAGATCTTGACAAACTTGAGGGGAAGCAGCCTGGTGAGCTCTAGGGTTTTGGTGGGCTTGCGACCTCTCCCCTTGGTGGTCCGGGCATGTCTGGCATGCTCTTCACAGATTTTTGTCGGTCGAGCCAGCAGCATGACATCAGGTAGCGGGAGGATAGGGCTGGTGGATGCAATGCCCACGGTCACCATTCGGACGCGGTTGTGTACATCGATCACCTCTCCTTTTTTGCTGATCTGGATAAAGTCGCTTTCAAACATAGGTGCGTATTTGAAAATGTCATACTCTCCTCCCTTGTACAGTTGTCGTTGCAGGTCCCCCATGGAGGTATTGAACACGCCCATTGAACGGTAGCTGTGGGCAGTGTAATAAGGTAACAAACTTTCGCTGCTCATGGTTCTCTTCATTTGAGACAGCTCCACCAGCCACAAATCGAGTCCTTGAGAGAGAGAGGGAGTGAAGGCAACTGCCCATCTCCCTGCAGGGCTCTGCCTAAGTCTCCTCTTACCACCTCATTTATCCTCCACAGTCCTTTGTGACCTGTCCCCATCACACACCCCTTTGTCCCAGCCTCCAAGCAGCCACCCGCTGGGGTCAGGGTCACCAGTCTCCCCCCAAACTAACCGCCACCTCCCCCCAGGGGACAGGCTGATTCCACCAGGGTGGAGGTGGAGGTAGGCTGCATATTCTTTCAATCAAAATGTTAGGATGCATAATGTATGAAACCATTCTGCTTTTGTAAATACCTGGGTTGCTTCCAGTTTTATTGCTGTTATAGATACCCCTATAGTGATCATCTTCCTGCAAGTGTATTTTTGCATCTGCTAAATTATGTCTTAGGTATCCAGTCCTGGAAGTGGACTGTGTGCTTGCTAAGGTCAGGGATCCTATATGGGATAAGCGTAGAGTGCAGTGCTGGTAGGCATTCAGAAGGAGTTGTGGGTATATGGCCCAAGGGGCTTCTGCTACCTGTTAGAACCAGAGCTCCATTTGTACAGTGGATTCCAGGTTAGCGAGGCTTCTCTCACCCATTTTCATGTAGGAAGGAGGTGAAATTTTAAAACCATAATTTTATGGTGATGAACTAAGGCTCAGGATTCTCTTGGTCAGCGTCAGAATGCAGAGCTGGATTCCATCCCAGGTCTTGTGACTCAGGTCAGGACTTTTTCTCTGCCTCAAGGTGCATCGCTCACCATTAGACTCTCATTCTGCACCAAATATGGAATCATTTGCTGTTAGCAATATGCGTGGGGACTTACTGGGAACCACAGGAATTCATACAGGGCTTGAATCACCATAGGATTTCCCGCACTGGCACGCCTGCTGCTTCACTCTTGATGTCTACCTGATAAACCACTGATGTTTTGCTTCTTTGAAAAGCTCTTCAGAGAAATTATGGCAAAGACATCTTTCTGGAGTTTTTTTTTGTTGTTGGTTTTTTTTTTACTTTGCACAGGTGATGAATCCAAATTCCCCCTCCCCCAGTTAGAAGACTACTTCTAAAATAAAAATGTACCACCCCCAGCTCAACAATTACCATGTGGAGGTCTTGAAATAAATTTCAACCCCAAAATGTTCTTTTTTAAAACTTTATTTATTTATTTATTTATATTAAGTAGGCTCCTTGCCCAGCGTGGAGACCAACATGGGACCTGAACTCACGACCCAAAGATCAAGACCTGAGCTGAGATCAAGAGTTGGATACCCAACCAACTGAGCCACCCAGGTGCCCCCAAAATGTTCTCTTTTATATCCCTAGTGCCTACCACAGTACCTGATACATTGCATCCTTCCAATAAATATGAACTTCCTTGTGACCATTGAGATTAATTCTTCTATTTGTTTATTCCACAAAACTGATTGAGCAAGTATTAATTTGGGGACCAGCTAGAAAATGGAATTGCAAAGATAAAGGTCTTTACCTCTGAAGAGCTAAACACTTTTTTTCTAAAGATGTTAAATAACTTCTCCAAAAAAAAAGAACAAAATGGCTTGTATTCTATTATAAGGAGACAATCACTAAAAGTTAACACGCTCACGTTTAAAAATAAGAAGTTAGGTTTTTCTATATTATAGTCAACCATATATTCCCATAAGTTTATTTCTGATGAATGATTAATAATGAGAGAAAACACGATCATATTCTTAAGAACTCGTAAGTCAGGCATGTTACTAACCACTTCACATTGCTTTAAAAATTTAATCCTCACAACAGCTCTATAAATTATAGGTACAACTACTGTCCGTGTTTTATAAAGGAGAAATCAAGGCTGAGAGAAGTTAAACAACTTCTTCAAGGTCACAAGAGATCAAAAGCTCATGGAAGTCCCCACATGTGGCAGTGGTTAAACTACACCACACTGAGTCACACAAATAGAACATACATATATGAGTACTGTACAGCATACATTCATCCATTTAATGAATATTATTAAGTGCCTACTTTGTGCCAGGCCCTGTTCTAGGTGCTAAAAGAACAGCAGTGGACAAAACAGACAAATACCCTAGCTCTCACAGAGCTTGTATATAGACAATAAATGAGTAAAATATTTGGTGTGCCCACTGATGATAAGTGCTATGGAGAAAGATAAAGTAGGCACCCTGGATGGGAGTATGTGCAGGAAAGGGGGAGTTGGAAGAGGTGGTCAAGAAAAGCTCAGTGAGAAACAATATTTAAGTAAAAACCTAAAGAAGATAAAGGAGGAAGCTGTGCAGACATCTAGGGGTGTAGCCTCTCAGTCAGAGGGAATGGCAAGAGCCAAGATTCTGAGGTAGGAGAATTGCTGTTGTGTTAGTGGAACACCAAGGGGGCTACAGTGATGGTGACGAGAGTGGAATGATAGAAAGTGGTTGGAGATGAGGCCAAGAGGCAACTGTGGTGACAGTGGGGGAGCGGATGGTGTGGGACAGACCTTGTAGAACTGTTAGGTCCTTGGCTTTGCTCTAAAGGGGAGATGATCAGACTGAAGTAGACAGAGGATCATTCTCGCCACCATGTTGAAAAGAGATTGTAGAGGTGCAGAGGGAGAGAAGAGGGGACTGGGTGGCTCCTGCAGGAGATGATGATGGCTAAGACGAGTGTGGTAGCAGCGGAGAAGGGAGAAATGATCAGTTGTTAGACGTGTTTTGATTAAGGCAACTATTATATATACTGGGATTGAACAATTTTCAATAGATGTTAGTGAGTGAAAAAAAACAAGTTGCAAAAAAGCATATATTGTATGCCATATATTTTTGAGTCAAAAATCTTAAAATGTGTACATGTTTGAGTGCATGTACATATGTGTGCAAAGATGTGCAAGAAACTGATAACAGGAGCAAACTTGGGGCAACTTGTTCACTAAGGGAAATGGTGGGATGGAGACATAGCTCTTCAGGGCATTCTCTTTTATACCTTTCAGATTTTGTTTCGTTGCGTATACTACTTACACAAAAATAGATAATATTCTAAGATTTATATATTTTCAAAAATGTTATTTAGTAAACTCTATTCTTAGAATATTCATTGATTCAGGCCTTGATATAGAAAAGAAGTAAGTAAATAGCTTCATTCAAAGGTAACTCTCTCTAGCACAAAATTTCAGAATTTGAGAACCAAAATATAAAATATCATTCAAAATTTATTTTCTGATTTCCCTTTAAGACCTTTCAAAAATTTATTCTCTCCTCTCAACCTTTAAAAGTTACAACCCCTATCGTAAAAATGGAGATCGTGGCATCTGGGTAGCTCAGTCATTGGGCGTCTGCCTTTGGCTCGGGTCATGATCCCAGGGTCCTGGGATCGAGCCCTGCATCAGGCTCCCTGCTCGGCGGGAAGCCTGCTTCTCCCTCTTCCACTCCCCCCTACTTGTGTTCCTGCTCTCTCTCTCTCTCTCTCTCTATCAAATTAATAAATAAAATATTTTAAAAAATAGAGATCAATATCCCCCTACTTGTGTTCCTGCTCTCTCTATCTCTCTCTATCAAATTAATAAATAAAATATTTTAAAAAATGGAGATCAATAAGTCAGGATATATTTACTGATTGGCCATTCCATTGCCCATTTTTTTTTATAAATTTTTTTTTAAAGATTTTATTTATTTATTTGAGAGAGGGAGAATGAGAGATAGAGAGCACGAGAGGGGAGAGGGTCAGAGGGAGAAGCAGACTCCCTGCTGAGCAGGGAGCCCGATGTGGGACTCGATCCCAGGACTCCAGGATCATGACCTGAGCCGAAGGCAGTCGCTTAACCAACTGAGCCACCCAGGCGCCCCTCCATTGCCCATTTTTGTGCTAAGAGAATTCAGGTTATCAAAATGTAAGTCTTAAAAATTTCTAAACATGACTTTCATACAAATATAGAATGAAAACAATATGAAGATTTAATTAATCCATCAGTGAGGAAACCAGCAGGATGTTAAAGCTGGTTCCAAGGAAAATCAGAGGAATTGGCATTGGCATTGGGAAAACAATGTCCGGTGAACATTGCCAGGTCAGTTACTAAACTGGTTAAATCTCTACAGGGCAATAAAATCTTAAACTTTGGGATTACCTTTTTTTACAAGGCAGAAATCATTTGCATCTCTTCTAAACAATAATCTATACATTATTACAGAACTTCACAGACTCTCAGACTTGAATCAATAGTCGATAGCCGCCTTAGGAACCAAAAATGTTCTCAAATTACATTGTGATAGTTACAAACTCTGAATACACTAAAAACCACTGAACTGTACAGTTTCAATGGATGGATTTTATGATATGTGAAATGTATCTCAATAAAGTGCTAAAAAATAGATAGCAATACTTCAGTCTTAACTTACTGATCCAATTCCATTGTCTTACTTCCTTCTCTTAGACAATCAAATAATCTTTGGGCTGGCATGTTAAGGAATGCTTTAATATGGCACTGAAAGTACATGTTGCCTGCTTTTTAATTTTTTCTATTTACAAGTTTTGGGTAATTTTTATTTTTTATTTTTTTAAGATTTTATTTGTTTATTTGAGAGGGGGAGAGCGTGAGCCAGAGAGGGAGAGAGAGCATAAGCAGGGGGAGGGGGAGAGGGAGAAGCAGGCTCCCTGCTGAGCAGGGAGCCCAACATTGGGCTCCATCCCAGGACCCCTGGATCATGACCTGAGCCGAAGGCAGATGCTTAACTGACTGAGCCACCCAGGCACCCCGTGGGTAATTTTTCTTATCAAGGAAGATAGTGAAGCGTGTGTATGCCATGACCTTAATCTCAGAAAGCTCACGATCCAGGAGGAGAATACAGAGTAGAAACAGAACAAAACAAGAGGGCAATTAACTATATGCTAGAGTAATAGTGAATGAGTTGAATGAATGGTGAACCTAGTAACACCCATCCCGATATTAGAACCAATAGTAATTGTTCTGTATGAAAAACTGCTGGGGCG